AAAAGCACATGCACATGAAGGGAAGATCATCCGGAACATTACACCAAGTAGGAACATGACAAGGAGATGCTAGAACTAGATGGAAAGCACATGCATATAGCCGGAAGATCATCTTGAACATTACACCAAGTACGAACATGACAATGAGTGGCTAGACTGATAAAAAAGTACATGCACATGAAGGGAAGATCATCCGGAACATTACACTAAGTAGGAACATGACAAGGAAATGCTAGAACTAGATGGAAAGCTTATGCGCATAGAGGAAAAATCATCCGAAACATCACACTAAGTAAGAACATGACAATGGGTGGCTTAGACTAACGGAAAACACATGCACATGAAGCGAAAGATCATCCGGAACATCACATCAAGTATGAACAAGACAAAGAGATGCTAGACAAATAAAACACACATGCACATGAAGGGAAGATCATCCGGAACATTACACCAAGTAGGAATATGACCAGGAGATGCTAGACTAATGAAAAGCACATGTACATAAAGGGAAGATCAACCGGAACATTACATCAAGTATGAACAAGACAAAGAGATACAAGACTAATAAAAAGCACATGTGCATGAGGGGAAGATGATCCGGAACATCACATGCTATTACGTGAGTGAAAACAAGAGTCTAAGTAGGCAAGATCACCAAAGTTGAATCAAAGGTCATCTATGAAAGAAGCGCTATACTACCTACTTGTGTGAGTGTGAAAAACACAAGTTTGGAGACCCCAAATCACCAAGATTGCATCAAGAAGCATCCATGCGTGAAGTGCTACATTACTTACTAGTGTGAGTGTGAAAAAACACAAGTTTGGAAAGCTCAAGTTCGTGTTCCGGATCTTTGCTTAGTTGATCTCTTCTCTTTGTGCATGTACTTTCCACTAGTCTAGTCTCTCATTGTCAAGTTCATGTTCCGGATCTTTGCTTAATTGATCTCTTCTTTTTGTGCATGTACTTTCGACTAGTCTAGTCTTTCATTATCAAGTTCATGTTTTGATGTGAAGTTCCGAATCTTTACTTCGTTGATCTCTACTCTTTGTGCATGTGCTTTCCACTAGTCTAGTCTCTCATTGTTAAGATCGTGTTCCGGATCTTTGCTTAGTTGATCCCTACTCTTTGTGCATGTGCTTCCACTAAGTCTAGTCTCTCATTGTCAAGTTCATGTTCCGGATCTTTGCTTAGTTGATCTCTTCTCTTTATGCATGTACTTCCCA